ACAAATGGAAAATTGAAAATGTCAACTCAAGGTGTCATACACATATGAAAAAAAATCTTTTGCTTATTCAGTTGATTGTAGATTGTATGGGATATATATTAATCTGGAAAATTGGGAAAATCTGTAATTATCAGGGAATTTCACAGATTTGAAGATTTCTCAAATTTTCCTGGAATTTTTTAAAATTTGGTTTCTATTTATCAGGTGCTGCCACTGGATGTTACTAAATTATATGTTGTTAACATATTTATTTCTGTTTTTATAATATTCAGAAATTGCATAAACTAAACTTTACCAAGTTCTCGTAAATGCTCAAGATACAGCATTTATAATTTTCGGAAAGAGTTAAAGTGGTTATATTGTAATTATCTTGGGACCACTTACTGCTTGTAGGGGATGATCTGTATGCCCACGTAGAAAACTTTAGTTAGCGATGAAAAAATTTGGAATGAAACTAATAGACATAATGTGTTTTTTATATTTTTTATAAAATTAATTTATTTTTCTTCATAGTATCTATCTATTTCAATTTTAATATCAGATTGATTTTATAACGCAGTAACTTTAAAGAAAAATAAAAATTTTGTGAAACAAGAAAATTCCTGTTTGTATCTATTAGTTAATTATGAAAAGATTTTTGACAGTCTTCATAAAAAGATACCTACATGGCAGGTGAGAGAATAATTTGAGTATTTGTTTAAAATTTTCCGTATTTTAAAATTTTTCGGAGTAACCATTCCACATTTTTCTGCACTAGATCTGATTCTTTCACATCAATGAGTTACCATTATTTAATACATTCAGATAGAAGGACTAGCAAGACCTCTACAACCAGGTATCCCTCCAGGAGAAAATGGGTACTGGAAATATTTAGACATTTATATGACTGATAATAGACTGAGATATCCACCGTACACCACAAGACAGATGGAAGATTCAAAGGAAGATTTACCAACATTCTACAGTGCCTCCGGAAAATATAAGGTATTCATTATTCCTTTACCTTGATCTTCGACTTTTGAGGAAAGTCAGTTTGTTGCATCACGTTTTCTTTTTGTAGCAATTAAAAATACCCTTGCCAGGCCCACTGACTGGAAATAAGTCTGTTTACGATAAAACTGTTTTCAAAACACAATTGCCACTCAGATATCTTTCGAGAGCTCTGAAAAATGTTCCAAATATGTAAGTAATTAATCGTAAATAGGTACAGTGTGGCCCATTAAGAATCAGAACATCCCTATCAAATTTTTTTGGGAAGCATTGTAGATGTATGTGAACTGTTTATGGTAAATCATTGTTTACTGTGATTATTTTTGGAAGTGAATATTAGGAAAATTATTTTAAGTACTTTTTATTAAAAATCTTGCTGCGTAACTTAATCAGCATCAATTAATTATTTATTTATGTATGTACTCATAGTACAAGTGCAAATAGGTGGGAAACAAACAAAAAATACATGTACATTTAGCATTCAAATTTATAGTTTTTTGCAAATTGAAATTACATTAGAGACAGATGAAAAAATATTCATTCACACATCAAAAAATATACCGCATTTGAAACTGTTGCAATTTGGGATGCTGGGGTTTTAGATGAAGCTGATTAAGGATATGTAGGAGTTAGAATTTTAATAAAAAAGTTCGTAAAACGATTTTCCAAGAAATCAAAGCTGGCCTTGGATCACTCGTAACTGGTTTAATAAATGCATCTAGAACGTAAAAAATTCATTACAATCTGTATTCCAAAAAAATTCTAGACAGATGTTTTAGTTCTTAACGGGCCCCAATGTATATAATTTTGCTAGTATTACTTTATAAATTATTAATATTTTTTGGACATTATTTGTTACAGGAAATTCAAAACAGAGTACAGAGGTTCCTATATTTCCCAAACATATTCAGACTTGCACCCTTACATAAACACAAATGGTGTTGATTTTGGCGGAAGCTTAGCCGATGCAGGACCCTGGCAGAATCTATGTCCACCCGGAATGTATTGCACTGATTATTGCCATATAGGTACAGGCTGGCCTGTAAGGGCAGTTGTCGATGTCGGACCGAATGCACCTCATGATAGAACCAACAAATCACAAACTTAGCCCCGATTTTTTATTTATGATCTAAATTTCGGTTTTATTGTTTATTCTTTATTCACGTCACTATATAACGTGTCTTGTTTTTATACCCCCTTGTAAGTAGTTTGGCCGTAAAGGTCATCATTTGTCTTGTGTATAAATTTCTCAGAAAAACAAGTTAGATTTTTTTTATTGAAAAAATGACTTGGTAGGATTATTCTACATCTCCAAAAATAGTTTCAAGTCCCCACATAATCCTTATGAAAAGTGGCTAGAGAAAAAGTGAAAAGTTAAAGTGACAGTGAAAGTGAAACGTGAAAAGCGGCTAGAGTAAGCTAGACATTTTTTATATCTGCCTAGAAAATGAAATATCAGACAATTTTTTTATATTTATACAGTGCGTTAAGGTAAAAGATAAATGTAGTTAAAATCTCTTTCAGCTACTAGACCAGCGGTGTTCAAACTGTGTTTTGCGGAACCCAGGGGTTCCCCACAACCTCTCTGGGGGTTTTGCGACTCAGTCAGAAATTCAAAATTTTGAAATTAACAATATCGAAACTACGAAATTCAAAAAAATGTATACTCTTACTTAAAACTACTATCTATAAATATATAATAGGTAAAAATGTGTTCAAAAATTTTTTTAGGTGTGGGGCTTCCTCAAAAGAATCGAATTGTTGGCCGGGTTCCCCAAGTCGCAATAGTTTGAAGACTGCTGTACTAGACCATAAGGATATGCACCTATAAACGTAGCTACAGTGGGGCAGACTGAGGCGCTTTCCCCCCCTTTCGGTTCATTATTAATTAAGCAACAAATAAAAAAAAATTGTTGCACTGGTAAAAATTAATTATTTGAAAACCTCCAATTGTGCCGAAGGCTGAACTAAAGGAAATTGTAGAACTAGCTATATTATTTAGTTGAAGATATACAATTATTTTACCCAACTGTAAAACAGACACTACTCATCACACTTGCACAGCCCTGTATAATGTGTACTCTCGAAAGGTCCTTCAGCATCTTGCGTAGAGTAAAAACTTGGTTACGGTCGACAATGGTAGAGAATCAGCTTGTCAATCTTTGCATGATGAGTGTGCATAGAAAGAACATTTTGGAACCAAAAAATAAATTTCAAAAATAAGTTTTGTTAAGATTTATCCAGAACCCCCGAGGACTATAGTGCTGAAATAAAATTTTGATAGATGCCAGTAAACATTTGCAATCAATTTTTTTTAAAGATTTCAAAGTTTAAATAAAACCAAGTAGTTTATATTAGGTACGTTTTTTTTTGCCTGGCTATGCCCTTGCCTATAAATTATAACTTCCACAAAATTGCCAATATCATGTACTACGATTATTTTAGTAAAATTAAATAGCATGTTATTCTACATTCCATGGTTTAACATTGCAAGAAAAAGCAAATTCATGCAAAATTTGTTCTTTTTCAGACATTAATGCAGCAAAATTAAAACATTTCCAATTTCCGAAATTTTCACGTCGTTTGGAGACTTCTTTCGAGAGGCATCTGTCCTGAATTTATTTCGAAATCGGCTTAAATAGGATTTGCGATTTTGAGATTGCTCATAGTTTTCAAATATCCGCTTTTTAGGTCTATTTAATAAAACAAATTTAACCTTAATTTCTTTTATAACTTTTTTAATTTTTAATGGTTTGTGCTGTACATTTATAAATCGGCACACAGTATCTTTAAGTAGAAATATACAATCTACAATCAACTGAATAAGCAAAAGATTTTTTTTCATATGTGTATGACACCTTGAGTTGACATTTTCAATTTTCCATTTGTAGATTTCCCGTTTATTACTTTCTTGAATTTTGAGAACAATTCTTATGCGACTATTCTTAAAAAAAGATAGATAGTGCGATGAGAATACCTATTTTTTTTAGGTACTACATTAAATGCATATACCTTCGTCTTCGTACTTAAATACAGGGTGTTCCTAAATAAGTGTCGCAACGGAAANTTGCTTTTTCTTGCAATGTTAAACCATGGAATGTAGAATAACATGCTATTTAATTTTACTAAAATAATCTTAGTACATGATATTGGCAATTTTGTGGAAGTTATAATTTATAGGCAAGGGCATAGCCAGGCAAAAAAAAACGTACCTAATATAAACTACTTGGTTTTATTTAAACTTTGAAATCTTTAAAAAAAATTGATTGCAAATGTTTACTGGCATCTATCAAAATTTTATTTCAGCACTATAGTCCTCGGGGGTTCTGGATAAATCTTAACAAAACTTATTTTTGAAATTTATTTTTTGCTTCCAAAATGTTCTTTCTATGCACACTCATCATGCAAAGATTGACAAGCCGATTCTCTGCCATTGTCGACCGTAACCAAGTTTTTACTCTACGCAAGATGATGAAGGACCTTTCAAGAGTACACGTACAGGGCCTGTGTAAGCGCCTCAGTATGCCCCACTGTAGCTACATTTATAGGTGCACATCCTTATGATCTAGTATACAGTGGTCTTCAAACTTTTACAATTTGCGGAACCGCGCCAACATTTCGATTTTTTTGGGGAAGCCCCACATCTAATAAAAAAATTTTCAAACAGATTTTTACCGATTATATAATATATTTATAAATACCAGTTTTAAAAGTATAAATTTTTTTGAATTTCGTAGTTTCGATATTGTTAATTTCAAAATTTTGAATATCTGACTGAGTCGCGAAACCCCCAAAGAGGTTGTGGGGAACCCCAGGGTTCCGCAAAACACAGTTTAAACACCGCTGGTCTAGTAGATGAAAGAGATTTGAACTACATTTATCTTTTACCTTAACGCACTGTATAAATATAAAAAAATTGTCTGATATTTCATTTTCTAGGCAGATATAAAAAATGTCTAGCTTACTCTAGCCGCTTTTCACTTTTCACTTTCACTGTCACTTTAACTTTTCACTTTTTCTCTAGCCACTTTTCATAAGGATTATGTGGGGACTTGAAACTATTTTTGGAGATGTAGAATAATCCTACCAAGTCATTTTTTCAATAAAAAAAATCTAACTTGTTTTTCTGAGAAATTTATACACAAGACAAATGATGACCTTTACGGCCAAACTACTTACAAGGGGGTATAAAAACAAGACACGTTATATAGTGACGTGAATAAAGAATAAACAATAAAACCGAAATTTAGATCATAAATAAAAAATCGTGGCTAAGTTTGTGATTTGTTGGTTCTATCATGAGGTGCATTCGGTCCGACATCGACAACTGCCCTTACAGGCCAGCCTGTACCTATATGGCAATAATCAGTGCAGTACATTCCGGGTGGACATAGATTCTGCCAGGGTCCTGCATCGGCTAAGCTTCCGCCAAAATCAACACCATTTGTGTTTATGTAAGGGTACAAGTCTGAATATGTTTGGGAAATATAGGAACCTCTGTACTCTGTTTTGAATTTCCTGTAACAAATAATGTCCAAAAAATATTAATAATTTATAAAGTAATACTAGCAAAATTATATACATTGGGGCCCGTTAAGAACTAAAACATCTGTCTAGAATTTTTTTGGAATACAGATTGTAATGAATTTTTTACGTTCTAGATGCATTTATTAAACCAGTTACGGGTGATCCAAGGCCAGCTTTGATTTCTTGGAAAATCGTTTTACGAACTTTTTTATTAAAATTCTAACTCCTACATATCCTTAATCAGCTTCATCTAAAACCCCAGCATCCCAAATTGCAACAGTTTCAAATGCGGTATATTTTTTGATGTGTGAATGGATATTTTTTTCATCTGTCTCTAATGTAATTTCAATTTGCAAAAAACTATAAATTTGAATGCTAAATGTACATGTATTTTTTGTTTGTTTCCCACCTATTTGCACTTGTACTATGAGTACATACATAAATAAATAATTAATTGATGCTGATTAAGTTACGCAGCAAGATTTTTAATAAAAAGTACTTAAAATAATTTTCCTAATATTCACTTCCAAAAATAATCACAGTAAACAATGATTTACCATAAACAGTTCACATATATCTACAATGCTTCCCAAATAAATTTGATAGGGATGTTCTGATTCTTAATGGGCCACACTGTACCTATTTACGATTAATTACTTACATATTTGGAACATTTTTCAGAGCTCTCGAAAGATATCTGAGTGGCAATTGTGTTTTGAAAACAGTTTTATCGTAAATAGACTTATTTCCAGTCAGTGGGCCTGGCAAGGGTATTTTTAATTGCTACAAAAAGAAAACGTGATGCAACAAACTGACTTTCCTCAAAAGTCGAAGATCAAGGTAAAGGAATAATGAATACCTTATATTTTCCGGAGGCACTGTAGAATGTCGGTAAATCTTCCTTTGAATCTTCCATCTGTTTTGTGGTGTACGGTGGATATCTCAGTCTGTTATCAGTCATATAAATGTCTAAATATTTCCAGTACCCATTTTCTCCTGGAGGGATACCTGGTTGTAGAGGTCTTGCTAGTCCTTCTATCTGAATGAATTAAATAATGGTAACTCATTGATGTGAAAGAATCAGATCTAGTGCAGAAATATGTGGAATGGTTACTCCGAAAAATTTTAAAATACGGAAAATTTTAAACAAATACTCAAATTATTCTCTCACCTGCCATGTAGGTATCTTTTTATGAAGACTGTCAAAAATCTTTTCATAATTAACTAATAGATACAAACAGGAATTTTCTTGTTTCACAAAATTTTTATTTTTCTTTAAAGTTACTGCGTTATAAAATCAATCTGATATTAAAATTGAAATAGATAGATACTATGAAGAAAAATAAATTAATTTTATAAAAAATATAAAAAACACATTATGTCTATTAGTTTCATTCCAAATTTTTTCATCGCTAACTAAAGTTTTCTACGTGGGCATACAGATCATCCCCTACAAGCAGTAAGTGGTCCCAAGATAATTACAATATAACCACTTTAACTCTTTCCGAAAATTATAAATGCTGTATCTTGAGCATTTACGAGAACTTGGTAAAGTTTAGTTTATGCAATTTCTGAATATTATAAAAACAGAAATAAATATGTTAACAACATATAATTTAGTAACATCCAGTGGCAGCACCTGATAAATAGAAACCAAATTTTAAAAAATTCCAGGAAAATTTGAGAAATCTTTAAATCTGTGAAATTCCCTGATAATTACAGATTTTCCCAATTTTCCAGATTAATATATATCCCATTGCCATAGATTGTGCAATACTAATTTGAAAGTATTAAAAAATTACACTCTCTCACCTCACATTTAGCTTCTGATGAAGGTGCCAACGCCTCTCTGAGTCGTGATCTATAGTAATTCGTTCTAAAAGAATCCTTCATTTCAGACAATTTAGGTGCAAGTGGTGGAGGAGGATTTTGGAATATCTAAAAAAATATTTATTGTGCCTGTTAATCTAATGATGATGTCATACTTACCTTTTCTTGAACATTTCTTATGTAATGAACTTTCCTCAGGCTTTGAGCTCTTTCATTGTATGTTTCTCTCGGATCAGTCTCATGAGGCAGTAGAATATAGGTGTTACCGTAAACACTTTTCCTGTCATCGCGAATAGTAACATCTATTTCTTTTAATTCGGGTTTAATGTCTGCCTTCACTCTCTAAAATTGTTCAGTTCGGAAAAGTTGTTCTACACACGACATATTTTTTTAAACTCACATAATTGGAATTTTCAGGAGCACTCGGTATAGATTGGTGATAAGTTCCTGTAGACGTTCTGTAATCTGTACTTTTATTTGCAACGATTGGAATACCGTAGTCCACATGGCCTTGTGTGTTTGAGGTACAAATTAGGGGATACATTTGCTAACATTTATGTCAGTAGTAAGGCGGGGTAGACTAGATTTGTGTATTGATCAAACATTCACAAGTTTAAATATTTTGAGCATGTCAGCTCGACATATCTGATCATAACATTGTTGTAATAATCAGTGATCTCCTTAGTTACGGAGGCTGTTGGTAATAATAGATCATGTCATCTAAAGGCCTCGAATCTTGCATATACGGGATATGTAACTAAAATACTTGGGCAAACTATGATGGCAGATGCTGCACCACAAATAATGAAAAGTTCTGTGCATATGCGTCTGCTTTGTTTTGAAGATGCAGCAGGGTATTCAAAATTAATGAAAATTGTACATCAACTTTCAAAAAACAGTTGAATGAGAAACCATAGGTCATGGATTATGTGATTATTTGATTAATTATTCCAAAAATGGTATGAATTGTCTAAAAATATTTGTGGAATTTACATATGGGACGTTCCATGTCAACCGGGACCCCATTCTCTCCAAAAGTAAAAGCAAGGAAAGAATACGTTTCAGGTCTCAATTTGAATAAACGATGGCCATTTTTGGAAAAATTTCGAAATTCAAATTGGCGGCCACAAAATGACAACTATAATTAAAAATTAAATAAAAAGTAGTTCAGTACCTAGCTTAAAATCGTCTATTCATGGAAAATATCTCATTCTAATAGTACGATTTTGTTCAAAGTGATAGTCCATTTTAAGCCTAAAAGTAGTAGTATTAGTAACAGACATTTTTGACCATTTTTTTGTTTTTTAGACCATGTCTGGAAAAAAGGATTTTTTTTCTAAAAGTAGCTTCTTTGACGTTTTTTGACGTACTGACTGAGTTATTGGATTATGAAGTCTAAAAAAATTAGGACAATTAAAATGGACCATTGTTTGACCACTTCTGGACTTTAATATGAAATTTTGATTCAACATGTCCAAAATCATAAAGCTTACTATTAGATTGGGGTATTTTTCATGGATAGAAGCTAGGTACTAAAGTATTTTTTTTATTTCTAATTATAGTCGTCATTTTGCGGCCGCCATTTTGAATTTCGAAATTTTCCCAAAAATGGCCATTGTTTATTCAAAAGCTCTAACAGGGTGATTCACAACTTATCCAAAAAAATTTGGGAATAGATGCGGCATGAGAAATGGAAGTCAATACTGTAAAAAAAAATTTTTGTAAAATCCTTAGTTTCCAAGAAAAAAATTATTGAAGTTATAGTACATTCAACCACTACATAGCTGGACAACTGTAGTCTCTAGCATCATTCGCAATACGCGTGGAGAGCCACTTGGCTTCAGCGACTCCGAATACTGAAATCCATCTTGCAATCGTCGTTGCGATAGTGTTTACCTGTTATCTATGGTGTTTACAATAGTTTTTTCGTAGTTAATGTCAAAAATGGTTTGCGTGTATAGCATTTCGGAGTTGATGGATATCGTTTTAATTTATGGTGAAACAAGACAACATTTGTATTATGGTGAAGCAAGACAACATTTGTCTTAGTTCGTATAAACTTAGTAAGACGAATCCAAATGTGTTTACACGTTGGTGGATAAAATTTTGAACAATTGTTGTTGTAACATCGGGTATGTAAAATGATTTTATTATTTAAAAACACAAATTAATTTTATTAATTAATAAAGGCAAAAGCAGTTGAATTTGCCGATATAAAATAGGTGCTATAAAATTCTATTTATTTCTTTCCATGCGAAAGTTTTTGTCTGTTTTTATGACACCGCCATGCCGGTCGCATTGTGCGAGGTCAGGTTTTACAGTGCAGAAGTGTATTTTTAAATCATTTTCGAACTGCCCCTTTTTATTTTTTCTTTACAAAATTGTATTTGTAAGAGTCCCTTGTACATCCAGATTTTTTTTTGGATAAGTTCTGAATCACCCTGTACATTAAATTTACTCAAACGTTTTATTTTAACTTGAATGAAACTTAAATTGTTTTCTTATAACTTAAAAGACAAACTTATTTAAACTTTAACTTCGAATATTTCAGAAACAAAGCATATATAAACACTTTTTTCATTAATTTGTAATGTAGAATTACCGTTAAAGTTTGTTCTAGCATTTTAGTTTTACCTTATACACAATAGTACTATACAAATTTAAATTTGTATTTTTTTATGAAAATGTATACAATCTAGTTATAAATTAAATAAACCACAATTCAGATTAACTATTTATTTTACAACTTAGAAAAATTCAATCTGGAAAACCCTATCATTAAAACTCATAAGTCTAAATAATTTTAATGGCAAATTCAAAATCCTTGAAAAAGAAAACATTTAAACAGTATTATTTAACTAAATATAAAAGTTACATGAATTTAACGCAATCATTATCAACATACGTAATAATTAGATCTTCTCCGTCGATTATAACATTATTTTGTAGCAATGCAGTTAAACCAGTTGACATACTACTTGAAACAATATCATTTCCATCTTTTTTGAACAGCCGCAATTTTTTTTCGTTAGTTTTATTGTTATTGTTTTGAAGTTTTAATTCTTGAGCGATAGCATCTATTGCTCTTCCGAGAGTCCATTGCTTTGAAACAAATACAGCTGTTGTCTTTTCGTTTTCTGGTTCTGGATGGATTACATTAAAATAAATGCGGTCCGTTGTGGGTATAGATTTCAAACCAATAGCTTTATTCTTCAGTCTCATTAACTGCACCTTATTTGCCATGTTTTTGTTTTTCCCTTTGTTTTTAGCTTCCGTTATTTTATTGTCTAACTGTAATAAAAATATTAAAGATAATGCGATGTTGTCATTTTAGAAACATTATTTCTACAATTATTTTCACACAAAATAAGAATCAGTGAAAGTTATTGGAGTTATTTTATATACCTCTTTATCAATGGAAGCTTTAGCCTCATTAAACTGTCTCATAGGAGCAGCATATTTTTCTTTTTCAGCTGCTATGGTCTCTGGATCTTTTTCTTTACATTCCTGTAAATGACGATGTTTTACACAATAACTCTTCTTACACCTTTCACACAATATAGGCACGATAATCCTTTCTTTACAGCCACCGTAAGAACAGACAGAGACATTCTCGATTTTCTTTAATTCATCTTCAGAAAGAAACCGGGATTTTTCACAGGACTCTACATGTGCATGAAAATGGTGTGAACAAAAGATCTTACCGCACTTACACTCTAAAGGAAGAAAATCTAACTGATTACAGTCCTTTTCACTACACTGTTTGTCTAATGAGGGTAATTCCATTATGAAAAAATAAAATTTGTATTCTATTGGTGTTCACTCAAAGTCGTAAGCATAATATCAGTCCACTTTTGCTCCTGCTCTTTTAAGGTTAAATGAAGATCTCCCGAGTCAGCTTCAGGATCTGACAATTCCCATACAGGTACAGTAATGTCATCCTCTGGAAGAGTGTCAGATCGCCAGCTATCATCAATTAGATCCACAAAAAATCCATCAATCGATACCTGACTGTCCATCTAAAAAATAAAAGCAGTCATTAGTACATTGGTTAATTCACTACAGAAGCAAACATTTTTAATTGTCTCATAAAACTTGAATATGAAAAAATAGCATACCATAAATTACTGTTTGCAAGCTACAAAAAAAACTAATTTTTATTAAAAAAATTGCTCACCTCCAATGAAATCACAACACAAAAATCATGGAACAAAATGACACAAACACGGAACACGAACACGGCAACCTAGGACCACGATAGTAATTTGTTTGACAGCGTGTTTATAAAACCAACCCAATATATAAGGGTTTTTTGGCGAGCCAAACCACATCAAACCCGGTTAGCTCGAGTTTGATTGTGTTAAGAGTTTGAGTTAACATTTGACAGAACTCGCAAAAATTCTTTTGGTTTGGATATATAATCAATAATAAAATCGTAACCTATAATCTATAAGGGTTTTTTGGCGAGAAAACCGCTAACCCGGTTAACTATAGTTTGTTGAGGTTTGACGTTTTGGCGAGAAATGTAGTTAACCCGGTTTGGCAGAGTTTGCCTAACCATCAAACCGGACTTGTGGGTTGGTTTGGATATTAAGTTAATATTTCTATCTTTGTTTATTTATTTTCTGTTTCGTACCATCGTACCTAGTCACTACTTCGTTTTTTTAGAGGTTTGGATAGGTATAAGTTGTAAATAAAAAAAATTGATAATGGATTAACTTTGCAAAAAATACAAAGTAAATATTTAAAATTGATAATAAAAAAATAGTAATCGAGGATCCAAATAACTTTAATCGTAGATATGCATATTCTATATTGTACTGTATAGATCTTTATTAACTTCCTTTTTGACGATACATTTACGTGGGAATAGATATTTGTGAAAAGGTAAACCCATTTTGATTTAATAACCATCTATACATTAACGTTATTTCATGGATGTGCATTTCAGATTAGGAATAACAATTATAGTATATAAGAAATAATCAAACAACTTGAGCTACGAGCACTATCATAGATTATAGGTTACGATTTTATTATTGATTAGATATCCAAACCAAAAGAATTTTTGCGAGTTCTGTCAAATGTTAACTCAAACTCTTAACACAATCAAACTCGAGCTAACCGGGTTTGATGTGGTTTGGCTCGCCAAAAAACCCTTNATTTTATGTATTAACTACGCAAATTTATTAAAATAGTTATAACAAAAATGTTTTTGTAGTAATTTTTAAGGATACTTACTTGTATATTTCCTCGATCCTTGATATAATCTTAATTACTGTGTAAAATTGGTTTATTTAATAATAATTATCATTGTGTTTGTTGCTTTACATACATTTAAGAGGTTATTTGTTATTTTTATTTCAATTCAATTAACCATTGACTAATGACTAATTAAGGGTTTTTTGGCGAGCCAAACCACATCAAACCCGGTTAGCTCGAGTTTGATTGTGTTAAGAGTTTGAGTTAACATTTGACAGAACTCGCAAAAATTCTTTTGGTTTGGATATCTAATCAATAATAAAATCGTAACCTATAATCTATGATAGTGCTCGTAGCTCAAGTTGTTTGATTATTTCTTATATACTATAATTGTTATTCCTAATCTGAAATGCACATCCATGAAATAACGTTAATGTATAGATGGTTATTAAATCAAAATGGGTTTACCTTTTCACAAATATCTATTCCCACGTAAATGTATCGTCTAAAAGGAAGTTAATAAAGATCTATACAGTGCAATATAGAATATGCATATCTACGATTAAAGTTATTTGGATCCTCGATTACTATTTTTTTATTATCAATTTTAAATATTACTTTGTATTTTTTGCAAAGTTAATCCATTATCAAATTTTTTTATTTACAACTTATACCTATCCAAACCTCTAAAAAAACGAAGTAGTGACTAGGTACGATGGTACGAAACAGAAAATAAATTAGCAAAGATAGAAATATTAACTTAATATCCAAACCAACCCACAAGTCCGGTTTGATGGTTAGGCAAACTCTGCCAAACCGGGTTAACTACGGCTGGTATTCATAGTTGTTCCTTGTGATTTGAGGGTGACTTATTTTGAATAATTTGTTTCATAGTGAATTTTCAATGTTTCAAAGGACGACAAATCATTCCTTATCTCAAGGCATGTCCGGATGTCCCTTGAGGTATGCTTTTACTCTTATAACCTATACATTTATGTGCCTATCAGATGTATTAGTAGCTACAGTTAAAGAAAATGGAAAATGACGAATTTTATGAGGATGTGGGTGATGATGTTATAAATATACTAATTCCACGTTTTCCTAAGAGATATTTAAGAAACTATGAAAACCCATTGGAATTTTACGATGAATGCCAGTTTCAGAGAAGATATAGATTTTCTAAAGATAGTACAATACATATATTATTTCCTTTAGTAGAAACGACACTGCAAACTGTTAACAATCGTGGTTTGCCTATACCACCTTTGTTACAACTTTTAACAGGCCTTCGGTTTTATGCTACAGGTAGTTTTCAGGTAAGAACAAGTACTGATTTTGACTATAAATATATTTTTCATTTGGTTTTCAACATTTTTCTATTTCAGCTGGTATGTGGGGATCTACGTGGGATAAGCCAAGCGACAGTATGCAGAATTATTAGAAAAATTTCTATACATTTTGCAGAACTACTAGGTGAATATATAAAATTTCCTCAAAATATGGAACAACAGCGGGCAAATATTGCTTTGTTCTTTAATATTGCTGGATTTCCATCGGTTGCAGGGTGTGTGGATGGTACGCACATTCCAATTGCTAGTCCAGGAGGCAACAACGCAGAAGTGTACCGAAATAGGAAGGGTTACTTTTCCCTAAATGTACAGGGAATACCTGTATTTGTTTCTTCAGCAATTAGGTACATAAATATTAAATATGAATTTCGTTGTAGGTCATTGCTGGACCTAGAAGAGAAATATTAGATATTGTAGTTCGTCACCCAGGGTCCACCCATGACAGTGTAATTTTTGATAGAAGTTCTGCACGTGTACGTTTTGAATTACGAGAAATACAAGGATTACTATTGGGTGATAATGGTTATCCTCACGCCCTTACCTTATGACACCTTTGCTGAATCCAAATACTAATTCAGAAGTTCGATATAATAATGCACATAAGTCTACAAGAAATATTGTTGAAAGAGTTTTTGGGAGCTGGAAAAAAATCTTTCCCTGTATTCATTTTCCTTTAAGAACTAAAATAGACACTTCTTTAGCAGTTATTTGTGCTACTGCTGTTCTTTACAATCTTTGTATCAGGTACAGATTGAATGTAGAGGATGAGATTGAGGATGTACAAGATGAAGATATCCCTGTTGTTAATTATAACGATGGGAATGCAGTTGGAGTTGCATTTAGAAGGGCATTTATAATAACACATTTTTAAATATTATTATTATTAAGTTAAATTTAGATTGTACAAGAATTTTTTTATATTATATAAATAATAAAATAGCAAAACTACCGTTGCCTAATTTATAAATATAGAACATATCCTATAAACAAATACTATTTTCAAAAAAGTTAGCATTGTATGTACACAAGCTTGGTTATATTGTGGAATTTATAAAATTAATATACCTATATGGTGAATCAGAAGCACTTAAACCATTAAAAAAACAAGGTAGTCAAAATATATGTTTATTATACATAAAAAAATGTAAAAAGATAAGTAAAAATATATTATTTGTAACTACAAAAATAAACGGAAACAAAAACTTGGTATACCACAAAAGAATTATTTATGTAACAAATTAATTCTGAACATTGTGTTCTGCAAGAAGTGTTTTGAGAATAGCTAATTTGACTTCTTCCTCAGCCACTTTCATGCGCTTTTCGTGCAGTTCCCTTTGCTGTTCGATAGATTCTTTTAACTTTTGAATCCTTAACTTGGTTTCTTCTTCACATACACAACGTTGACAAGATTTTTGTAATCTCTTTACTTTTTCAATTTTTCTAGTAGGTGTCGATGATGTGGTAGGTGGTGTATCATTATGTCTTATATTTGTTATCTGAATCTCATCAATATTTTCTTTATTAGCAGTATTACTTTTTGTATTTGGTTCAACACATGACATTAGATTTTTAGCTTCAAATACACTAGTACTATCCCATGAACATTCCAGTTGGACATCTGCATTTGGTGCTATGATGTCAACAAATTCTAACACTGGGTCTACTGATTTTTTCATAGGAGGTCCACCTCCAGTTAATAACCTCTCGTGTCTCATTTCTGTAGAAATTTTGCGTTTTCTAAAAAATAATGATTTTTAAATTACACAAGCTAACAAAACCTTAAAGCAATAATTATCATACAAATAAATGACTTACCTTTGTTTCATATTATCCCAACATTTCTTTAGCTGCTTCGTGTTTCTCTGCGTAAATCCTATGCTATTGTAAGCATTTGTAATCTCTTGCCAAGCAACATTTTTTTCTTTTATAGTTGTAGAATCACTCTTTTTATTTTCAACTATATGTTTTTTGCCTGCCACTAACTGCGCTAAAGTCATTCTTTCATTTTCGGAATAATGTTGACACGATCGGTCTTCATTACTTTGGTCCATATTATATATGTTTCAGTACGATAAACACAAACTGAAATACTTTAAGGGTTTTTTGGCGAGAAAACCGCTAACCCGGTTAACTATAGTTTGTTGCGGGTTGCCGTTTTGGCGAGAAATGTTGTTAACCCGGTTTGGCAGAGTTTGCCTAACCATCAAACCGGACTTGTGGGTTGGTTTGGATCTTAAGTTAATATTTCTATCTTTGTTTATGTATTTTCTGTTTCGTACCTAGTAGTCACTACTTCGTTTTTTTAAAGGTTTGGATAGGTTAAGTTGTAAATAAAAAAATTTGGTAATGGATTCACTGCAAAAAATACAAAGTAATATTTGAAATTGATAATAAAAAAATAGTAATCGAGGATCCAAATAACTTTAATCGTTTATTAAATGGCAAATATGCATTTTATATATTGTACTGTATAGATCTTTATTAACTTCCTTTTAGACGATACATTTGCGTTTGAATAGATAATATTTGTGAACAAAGTAAACCCATTTTGATTTAATAACCATATATTAACGTTCTTTCATGGATCTGCATTTCAGATTAGGAATAACAACTATAGTATATAAGAAATAATTAAACAACTTGAGCTACGAGCACTATCATAGATTATAGGTTACGATTTCATTATTGATTAGATATCCAAACCAAAAGAATTTTTGCGAGTTCTGTCAAATGTTAACTCAAACTCTTAACACAATCAAACTCGAGCTAACCGGGTTTGATGTGGTTTGGCTCGCCAAAAAACCCTTTTTTACAAAAAAATATCAACATAACCTAAATATATATATATACTTGCGAAGTAAGCTCTAAGTATTACATCAGCTGTAGAAAATAAAATTACTAAATAAAGTGTTCCTCCAATAAGGTTTTGTCAAGCAATGTTTATAAAATACATGACAAATAAGGAAGCCTTATATTTAAAGGAAACCTTTGTCAAGGAAACCTTAATTCTTATCTTGAGTGTGAACTATGAATCCCAGCCTACATTTCTCGCCAAAACGTCAAACCTCAACAAACTATAGTTAACCGGGTTAGCGGTTTTCTCGCCAAAAAACCCTTTATGTTCTGTGATGAAGACCTGGAAAAAGAAGAAGAAGAACCAATCTTATGGGCATTTGACATTTGACTATTTGACATTTGGTGGGCTGTAGTGGATTAAAATTAGTGCGACTGCTAGAAATTAAGAAATTAAATATTCTGCAATACTAGAGAAATCAGAAAAGTAAGTTCATACAAAACATACTTGCATATATTACTTTTTAGTGATCATTCATTATTACAGATAATTTGGGATTAGCAGGTGTATTACATAACATTTTCTTTATAGATGCTGTCCTTCCAAATTTTGGATAAACTAAAAACTGGTATTAGAAGCGGAATATGCAGTAACCGTAACATTGGTGTCTTTGCCCCTTGCTTACAGAAAGCAAGTGATCCCATCCAACAATTATTCGTTGACAAAATCCGAGAATATAAACAAAAAAGTAACAAGTAAGTAAAATGCCATCATTAAAATTACTTCAACAAAACTGCCAGTTTAATTTTTAAAGATTCTTAATAGAACTATTTCTTAACAGCCCAAAACATATACAATTGTTTTATTTTCTCTTTGCAGTGGAAAAAACTTAGTCGAACCCACGCCTGATCTTGAAAAAGAATTAACGACTGAATTGGAAAAAGTTGCAAAACAGTACGGAGGCGGTCCAGGAGTTGATATGACCAAGTTCCCCTCTTTCAAATTTCAAGATCCCGTTATAGATCCCATAACTTTGGAAAAGTAGATCTTTTCATTCTGTATGTTAATAGTTAATATATAATTACAAAAATTGTAGTTATTTTTTCTTTTAAGCTATTTCTATCGATGTATTCTTTATATGAAAAATCAATGTAGTTATTAGTTCAAAGTTCAAACGTAAGGGAAATAAAATACAAATTAATTTAAAAAAGGCCATTGTTGTATTTAAAATGTAAATAGAATAACAAGAAAAGAAAACTAACAAATAAGCTTCAAACTGTCCTCAACGGTTTCACTCAAAGCTGGCATATCATATTTCTGCGCTAACGATAGAAAAGTTTCCAACAGTTTTATTAGATCAGTTCTTGATATCAAACATCGGAATTCGGAGGCACATTGGCAATGCTTAATAAGATTTTCCATTTTAATCTAAAAAAAAAATATAGTTATACCTATTAAGGACAAAATAATTTTTTCTTGCCTGTGAACATTTTTTGCACTGCAAATCCTGTAGATTATATGCAAGAAACTTTTTACTAATGATTTCTAAAAGAAAGCACTCGATTTTTGTGCTATCATAAGGTGTATCGCACAACGGACAAATCCAAGCTGTATCGGTCCTGTGTCGGTCTCTACCTAAATCGACATCTCTGCAATGGTTGCATGCCTTACATATTACCTGTGGTATAACGTAAGAGACCGTCATATCACGCCAAACGGCCTTATCAGAAAACTCGCCAACACCTGAAAGCATACAAATATTTAAATGTTTAATTAAATAGTTTTTCTTATAATACTGGAGAGCAGCATAAAGAATAATGCTGTTAAAATTTCTGGGGAAAAAAAATAAAGATCAAATTTCAAACAGTTTTACACATTTAAAGTCGTACCATACCTATAAGTCGCAGCAGATTGCTCTTCAAAACGTTAACAGCATCTTGTAAGGCAGGATCTAAGCCCAATATATGACAGATAGACTTCACGAAGTCCAACGCTGCGCTAGTGCCGTCCGGTAGAGGCCGTAACCTGTTATTAAGTTTTTCCGTCATTCTGAAACGTAACGAGATTAAATTCGAATAAAAAACGGCAGATATCGTAACCTTACTGAAATAAAGTTTGACTGATTTCTCCCGCCAACAATTCCTTGGCATATTCTACAACGTCTTCATAACCACCCAGTCCTAACGACGGCTGGCTTAGAACGGCAACGGACGTTTGTTCCCTTTCCTTCAAGTGAGTGTAGATGGCGGTTAAGTAGCCTGCAATCACTATAGTAAAGTTGTTACGACAGTTTGCGGCTTCCGGTAGTTGCTCGGCTATATTCCAGTTCATATCTATCATCGCCTGTAATATACACAAATTTATAAACTACCTCTGAAATTTTATAAATAGGCGGCTACCCCGTAATTTTCGTCATCGTCATCGTCTTCGTTGGTCTCTTCGTTTTGTGAATCGTTCTGCATATCTTCTGGCAGTTTCCCTTTGATTCCTCCAAAATTTGCTGGATCCAACCATATAAGTTGCTCCCAGCATTGCCTAAGAAAAAAAAAACGAGTGATAAACTTCTCCAATAGCTGGAGAACACTGCGCGTACTACTCTTTCTACCCTTAATTAAATGCTAAAATATTGTCTTTGTTTCTGCAATCCAAACTCTAAAACAGATTTTATATATAACAATTTTTAAAAACTTATTTAGTTCCCCAAGAATCTAGCATTTCGATCAATCAAAGAATTTGATTCCTATTTATTTTTTAAAGAAAAAAAAACCTTTCATTTTATCTGTAAAGTGTGGCACTTTTTATTTCTAAAATAAGTTTACCTTACAGTTGAATTGACAGTAACTGTAAAACTATTTACTTTGTACAAAATAAATGCACGCAATTTTTATTATAATTAAAAAGACGTAACCAAAAATCTAAAATTATCGATATAGCCTTTTAATTTTCTAAGAGGTATTGCCCTAACAAATCAAAAATTGTATGCCAATGATTTTTTTTTGAACTTTTGATAGTCACCCTGTATTTAAAATTGTATAATTTGACCAATTTCTTGATCAACTTGTCGAGCCAAAAAATTTTTTCTTTACTTACCTGTAAGTAATCTCCAAAGAGTGAAACAGTTCTTTATTTCTAATAGACGACACAACAAATTGAACGTTTGCTAATGCATCTTCGACATTTTTCCTTTTCGAACACACCACAATTTTGTTGAAATTAGCATAGATGACAGTACAACCGAGTCTTTTAAATTCAGCTACAAGTTGAAGGAACAGTTTTTTCATCAAGTTTTGCAACGTCCTTAGAAGGGCTGGATCGTATAGCAGAGATTTCGGTGACCTTAACCACCTAAAAAATATAAGTTATTTATACAGGGTGTGGCGTGTATAATCTATAAAAATTGAACTACAGCTTCCTAACGATATTAAATAGAATAATAGAAAAGTCTTATATGAAAAAGTTCTATTTTTGCGTTTTTTTTTTCCATGAAAGTTCAATTATGGATCAAAATATTTTCTCTGGAAGGGTCCTGTCCATGTGCTGTACGATGAGTTACATGCTGTAGACCAGCCACGTAAACAAATCGTCGTTGAAAGATAGAAAGATACTTCTCAATTTTTGAGGAATTTTTCAATGCAAAAGTACAGACTAAGAAAAATAGGTATTTAAAAAAACTTGCCAACTGCGTGCATTAAACAAACTCCATCAAAATATGGAACAAAAAGAAATAAAACTTACCATTTCTAGAGAAAATGTTGAAATTGATCCCCATTAGCGCGGATATAGGCATGGCACCGACGCACACAATTTTGACGAATATTTTCCCAAATTCCAGGTATTTCCCTAATCGTATCAGCAGCTTCAAGTATACTGTTTTGCAGTTCTTCCACCGTAACAATTGGTGTATTGTAAACCAAGGACTTCAAGTGACTCCAAAGATAAAAGTCCATTGAAGTTAGATCCGGTGACCGAGGTGGCCACGGCACAGGACCAAAGCGTCCAATCCATAGCAGTTCATTCAAAAGTGTCATTACTTCTCGAGTACTGTGTGGAGGAGCCCCATCTTGAAGATAAAACATGCGTGCCTGAACTTGTAATGCCACATCGTCCAATAATTTAGGCAACCGGTTCTCTAAAAAGTCAGCATATGTCCATCGTAAGTACATCGCCTATTATGCCAGCCCAAACATTTACCGAGAACCGATGTTGATAATGAGTTTCCCTAATCACGTGAGGATTTTCATCAGCCCATATGTGCATATTATGGAAATTCACTTCATCACGGGTAAATGGCGCCGCATCTTTTACACAAACATAGCAGGAAAGTCTACTTGATTGGCACATTGCCGTAAAAACCATCTGCAAAAACGCATTTGTTGATCATAATCCGGGGGTAATATCTGTTGAACTGGTTGCAGATGATAGGGGTGCAACAGTTGGCACCTGAACTTGTTGTGCGAGTCGTCGAGTACTAATTGTGGGGCCTTTGTCAAGATTTTCCAACACTGCATCTTCAACATTAAGGTTCACTCGCTGATCACGTCCTTCTCTTCGAGGAATAACACTTCCCGTATCTCGCAGCCGCTGAATGCTCTGTAGGATTGTATTTGCACATGAGGGTGACGTTGTGGCCATCGTTCCCAGTACAACCTAATCACCGCAAGCGCATTTTCTCCGACTGCACCATACACTAACACCATATCGACACGTTCGGAAATAGTAAATGCATTGTTTTCTCGGTTCATTGTAAAACTAGTTTGTGCACAAACTAAAAAATTAAGCAAAGTAAGAAATAATAATCTCATTTTTAATGTAATCGTCACCCTATTCTTGTTTTTTACTTCTTTATAAAAATTACACTGTCACTATCATGAAATTACAAAATAAAAACTTTTGTCCGGAATCTTTCACTTTTTAACACTGATGGTTCGATGAATGATGCTTAATATTTAATAATTAAGTGAATAATGAATTCAATACAAATACAAAATCAGTTGACTGCACAAATTTTTTTAAAATGTAACCTAACCTTTTAGTATTACTAGTATTAGATTATACCGATTTAAATTATAAGGTTGCATCTCGGGTCGCATAAAAACATTTCCAAAGTTTTTAATAAATAACACAGGATCATCCTTCATTTTCGTTGAATAAATGAACTTTAATTTACAAAAAAAAAAACTCGAAGATAGAACTTTTTCATATAAAACTTTTCTATTACAAATATCATGAGGAACCTGTAGTTTAATTTTTATAGATTATACATGCCACACCCTGTATACCTCCAGTCATAAATTCGATTTTATGCAGGTTTGCAAGTATTTGAAACTCATAAAACTGTCTATACGACCTGTAATAAATTAATATTTCTGATAAATCACAGTATCGTCAAAGTACGTATAACCTTACTCAAAGCTTCTTAAAAAAAAAAAATTTGCAAAATATCGAGGAATCAGAGAAGTACATAAGAAAGTATTTAATTGATCTATTAAGTTAACGTCATCCAATTGTAGATTGTTATAATTATGGGAATGGGGCTGTAGCTTGTTGGAAAAATGAACTAATTAAAATAAAAATTTTAAATGTGGTGACTAAAACTGGTGTAATAACTAAAATACCTATTAATTAAAAGGTTTAAAACGCTGTTTTACAATTATTGCGATAATAAGTAGCTTTCTGCTAGTAGGCACAAAGCAACACTTTGTGACAGTAGGCGCTGAGTAGCAATGACATTGACACATGACAAATATTTTGTAGGTTATATCTCGCCCACACTCGACATCACTAATAATGTTGAAATTCCGTTAGAATTTGAACATTTTGTTATTTCAAAAATTTACATACCTGTAAAAATGTATAACCTGAAAATCGGCAAAAACATTTCTGTACACTGATATATCCCTCATCCACCCACTAGCCATCGTCCTCAAGATTTTGAAGGCCTCCGCGCACCTAGCAGTTTCATCGTAAATCGTTAGAGTCTGGTTCCCTGCCATCATATCGTCAATGGACGTTGTTCCAGCGGCATCAAAAGCGGTAGCGTTACTTGTCCCTTCTATATCAGTGACGTGATGCGACTGAAGCAAGGTGTTTATTGCTAAACTGTCAATGTCTAACTCGACGCAAACGGAAGAGTACCATCCTTGGGTGTTGCATACTTCCGACGAACCTTCCTGATTTTCGGCAAGTAACCTAAAGTAAATTGTGCTTTCAATGTATAGCCAAGATTGAGAAAATTATACAGGGTTGTCTCAATAGTCTGTTTACATGAAACTGCCATAGATTCTTGTGGTCAAAATGAGACGATTCAACTAAACTTACCTTTGTCCAAAGTTGACGCATTTAGTCGTAAGGGGGCATCAGTCATAAAAAAAAATAAAGTACCTAGATTGACGAAGTATGGCAACTGATTTTTCTCCAAAAATGGCATTTCGCGTTTGATGTTTTTAAATATTTTGTTGCATATTGTCTGCTTTTTTAAATTTAGATGTCATTTATATCAAAATACTATCAATTAATGGACTACATTGGGGAACTTTGTATATGAAATATAAAACATCCTATATTACCTAGCGTCATTCTCCTGACTTCCACCAAAGTCCGGTTTATCCGTCGGAGAACACCAAAGAACGTGGTTATGTTTCTCGAGATGTCTCGCGAAGAAAAGATCCGCACCAAAAATTGCCGGATCGTCTGGCATATTTCCTAATGGTACGTGGAAATATCTGCATTGTTCCGTCATATATTCCAACATCCTTTCACTATTTAAATAATGTCGGACTATCGCCCGAGCGCCGACTTTTTGCCAATCGATTACGTTGTACAGCTCCTCGGGGTCCTAAAAAATGTTTCCATTTTTAGTAATGAATTTAAAAAAAACTCGAATTGAAAGGTTTTACCTGAACGTGTATTTGAACTTGCGGGAAATCGGTGAAATGCGATATGTGAACTTGTAAGTTAGGTAAGGCCATTGTCGACTGTATAGCCAATAGAGTAGGACCTTTTTTGTCATCCTTATACGTTTGAAGTAACTTTTGAAATATTTTATAAACCTGAGCAATATCTGTCTCGACACGCACCTCGAAACTTATTTCTTCTGGTGGTAAAAGGTCATCGTCAGGATTCTTCTCTTTCCTAAAATATCTCGATACAGGTTTTGCTCTCTAAGTTCAACATTTTACAAATTCAATGCACTTTAAACTGATTCAGTTAAAAGGGCAATTATTTTAGAGTTGCTAATAAAAATTCGTATCAGTATAGACAGATTGCCAATATATTTTTTAAACATTTTCTAATTTTTTTTTATTTTATGTACAGGGTGCCTGGAAGTAAATGGGCCATGCTTCAATATTAGCTTCCTTGGAATAAACCGATTTAAATCAAGTCAGCATGGTATAATTCTGCCATGCTACTGCAAAACTGTGTAATCGCAAAATACAACTAAGTAAGCTTCATAGTTCTTTGAAAATTGCTTTTATGCCAATGGTACATTAGAAGATATGTAGACTGCCATTCGGTTATTAAAGTTTTATATTAATACCTTGAAAAAACTTTTTTTGATAAGCATTTTTTTTCTATGGCAGAACCTTATTTCCTTATGGGCCTTCAAAGCAAAAACTTTTTGTTCCATCTTAAATTTTTTATAGTAAAAAAATAAGCGTAAGTTAATCTTTGGCTACCTCAAAAACTTTCCAACATCAAATTTCATAAAAACATATTTGAAAAAATTTATTTGAGAACTCGTAAATTATTAAAGAAGCAAAATTTTAGTAAATTCTAAGTTTTTTCATCCAAGAAAATAGGCTATTGAATATATCCAAGAAAACAGGGTTAAAAGGAACTATAATGTTCAAGCAATTTTTTGACTTTTACTCTATTATGTATAGCTACTTCCCACCTTAAAAATTGAAATTTTGATTTTAAAAGTTGTATTATGACATTATTTGAAGTTATAATCAGAACCTTTTAATTTATGAGCACCCTGTATATCTAATCTGTGATGTTTGTATGCCAGTCTCATTTTTTCAATGGGCAGAACTTTTTATAAAGACTGACATTTTTCGATAAAGTCAAAAACAAAAGAGTTTCTCCTCTCGTCAACTCAGTCCGTGGACACACTGTATACAGGGTGTTTTCACTTTAAATTTGGAAAATGCAGGAATGTATTCCCTATCAAAAAGTATGTGTAGTTTGCTTTATAAAATTTTTTTATGAAAGCTTTTGTTTTGGAGATACAGAGCGTTGAAGCTTAAAAAAAAATAAACACTTTTTGACATATCTCGGCTATCCACGAGTAGATTTGATTTAAACTTGGTACACATTATGCGTATTGGGGGTTCTCATAATTAACAGAATATTAGTCCGATCGCATTAGCCAGTGGCGTGTAAAGGGGGGGTGCGTGGCCNCGGGGTACGTAGTCAACGGCTTGCCTGAGGAGGGGATTGTCATGTCTAGCGGCCACGTCAAACCGTTTCTCCGCGTTTTATCTTATTTTGCCCGTGTAGCGTTTGTGTATTGTAAGTCTCGTAATATGTCAGAGTTTCTTACGTACCAGGGCGCGTCGGTGGCCGTGCGGAGAGCTATGTTTTCCACAGCCTGTAATGACTTTAAGTGGTTCTTCACGACGCTGCCCAGACCTACAGAGATAAGGTAGAACATAAAGGGATAGTCTCCCTCGGTCCAAATTATCGAGGTCACGCTTAACGCCAAAAATAACGGCGCGTGCTGTTGCGGCTACAGCCTAGTCTACTTGTCTGGTATCATAACCACAGCCTACAGAATCTATGACTAAGGCTGGTATTCATAGTTGTTCCTTGTGATTTGAGGGTGACTTATTTTGAATAATTTGTTTCATAGTGAATTTTCAATGTTTCAAAGGACGACAAATCATTCCTTATCTCAAGGCATGTCCGGATGTCCCTTGAGGTATGCTTTTACTGTTATAACCTATATATTTATGTGCCTATCAGATGTATTAGTAGCTACAGTTAAAGAAAATGGAAAATGACGAATTTTATGAGGATGTGGGTGATGATGTTATAAATATACTAATTCCACGTTTTCCTAAGAGATATTTAAGAAACTATGAAAACCCATTGGAATTTTACGATGAATGCCAGTTTCAGAGAAGATATAGATTTTCTAAAGATAGTACAATACATATATTATTTCCTTTAGTAGAAACGACACTGCAAACTGTTAACAATCGTGGTTTGCCTATACCACCTTTGTTACAACTTTTAACAGGCCTTCGGTTTTATGCTACAGGTAGTTTTCAGGTAAGAACAAGTACTGATTTTGACTATAAATATATTTTTCATTTGGTTTTCAACATTTTTCTATTTCAGCTGGTATGTGGGGATCTACGTGGGATAAGCCAAGCGACAGTATGCAGAATTATTAGAAAAATTTCTATACATTTTGCAGAACTACTAGGTGAATATATAAAATTTCCTCAAAATATGGAACAACAGCGGGCAAATATTGCTTTGTTCTTTAATATTGCTGGATTTCCATCGGTTGCAGGGTGTGTGGATGGTACGCACATTCCAATTGCTAGTCCAGGAGGCAACAACGCAGAAGTGTACCGAAATAGGAAGGGTTACTTTTCCCTAAATGTACAGGGAATACCTGTATTTGTTTCTTCAGCAATTAGGTACATAAATATTAAATATGAATTTCGTTGTAGGTCATTGCTGGACCTAGAAGAGAAATATTAGATATTGTAGTTCGTCACCCAGGGTCCACCCATGACAGTGTAATTTTTGATAGAAGTTCTGCACGTGTACGTTTTGAATTACGAGAAATACAAGGATTACTATTGGGTGATAATGGTTATCCCTCACGCCCTTACCTTATGACACCTTTGCTGAATCCAAATACTAATTCAGAAGTTCGATATAATAATGCACATAAGTCTACAAGAAATATTGTTGAAAGAGTTTTTGGGAGCTGGAAAAAAATCTTTCCCTGTATTCATTTTCCTTTAAGAACTAAAATAGACACTTCTTTAGCAGTTATTTGTGCTACTGCTGTTCTTTACAATCTTTGTATCAGGTACAGATTGAATGTAGAGGATGAGATTGAGGATGTACAAGATGAAGATATCCCTGTTGTTAATTATAACGATGGGAATGCAGTTGGAGTTGCATTTAGAAGGGCATTTATTATAACACATTTTTAAATATTATTATTATTAAGTTAAATTTAGATTGTACAAGAATTTTTTTATATTATATAAATAATAAAATAGCAAAACTACCGTTGCCTAATTTATAAATATAGAACATATCCTATAAACAAATACTATTTTCAAAAAAGTTAGCATTGTATGTACACAAGCTTGGTTATATTGTGGAATTTATAAAATTAATATACCTATATGGTGAATCAGAAGCACTTAAACCATTAAAAAAACAAGGTAGTCAAAATATATGTTTATTATACATAAAAAAATGTAAGATAAGTAAAAATATATTATTATTTGTAAGTAACTACAAAAATAAATGGAAACAAAAACTTGGTATACCACAAAAGAATTATTTATGTAACAAATTAATTCTGAACATTGTGTTCTGCAAGAAGTGTTTTGAGAATAGCTAATTTGACTTCTTCCTCAGCCACTTTCATGCGCTTTTCGTGCAGTTCCCTTTGCTGTTCGATAGATTCTTTTAACTTTTGAATTCTTAACTTGGTTTCTTCTTCACATACACAACGTTGACAAGATTTTTGTAATCTCTTTACTTTTTCAATTTTTCTAGTAGGTGTCGATGATGTGGTAGGTGGTGTCTCATTATGTCTTATATTTGTTATCTGAATCTCATCAATATTTTCTTTATTAGCAGTATTACTTTTTGTATTTGGTTCAACACATGACATTAGATTTTTAGCTTCAAATACACTAGTACTATCCCATGAACATTCCAGTTGGACATCTGCATTTGGTGCTATGATGTCAACAAATTCTAACACTGGGTCTACTGATTTTTTCATAGGAGGTCCACCTCCAGTTAATAACCTCTCGTGTCTCATTTCTGTAGAAATTTTGCGTTTTCTAAAAAATAATGATTTGTAAATTATACAAGCTACCAAAACCTTAAAGCAATAATTATCATACAAATAAATGACTTACCTTTGTTTCATATTATCCCAA